CACATTTATATGATGTGTAGATTGTGATGAGTGTAGATGTAGACCTGTCATTGTCCTACAAATTCATTAACACGCCTAAAAGTGGTGAAATGAGCCACCCTATTAAACACAATCTTGTATAATGATCATTGGATCCAATCATGCCAGATTATGAAGAAGTTTAAAATGTAGCGGTTATCCCGACTAAAACATTAAAAGAACCAGCCTCATATAGTTTGCACAAAGATATAATTTCTCCATAGTAATTCTGAAAAATAATATTAATTTAAGAAGTCGATATTGCTTCTACATGTTTAATATTGCAATTCGATATGCAATATTCGAACCAGTGATATTTGGGCTGCAATTTTAGGGTTATTGTATATTTATAAAATAGATAGAAATTTAAATTAAGTATTAAACTACAACTAAAATAATCAAAGTATTAAAACACCAAATAAGTACTTACGGGAGATTCAGTGGCCAACTAATCGTTAAAAAAGTCATATGATTTTCATAATTTAGGTTCGTGTATGTTTGAATTTAAATAGATACAATAAATATACTTAGTGTGATTGGTTATGATCCTTGCTTGCCTTTAAAGAGACCAAGGTTCAAATCCCAGTGCATGCCTTTTTTATGAATAAATAAATAAGAAAATAAGCAATTGTGAAGACCAAAATGTCCTTCCTATAATCACTCTCGTTGCAGGAAATTTGAAATGGAGCAACAGTTTTCATCATTCGGCTTTTATTTATTATCTAGATTTAGCCTAATAGAAGACTAACGATAAAACAATTAGATTAATTCATTGATCAAGAATGCATGAGATCGTTATTTAGTGATATTTTTTTCTTGATAGGTCAACATAATCCGGGTTAATTATATTTGTGACTATGATCCCGCGAGAAGAAGAAAGGTCGAATTTTATGAAATTCGTTTGCAATAGGTCATTTTGGTAGCGACGCCTAATGGTACTTGAGATGAAAATGCAATTTTTAGGCATTGAATTTGACTATTAAAATTTGGTAAAGTCACTGTATTTTCTCTCAAACCTCCGTTTTAGTCGAATATGCCTATGATACATTATGATTTCAACCATACAATACCTCTTTATCGCTTGCATGGAAAAAGTTAGTAAATCTGCCAAATGATCTATCAACATATACAATAATACAAACTCTTTCTAACTATTACCAAATACCAAATGAGTAATGACAATGATGCATGCATCCAATTCCAATATACTACACCAAAATCCAACGAAACGAACCCCATTTTATATATAAAAAATTACCTTTGGCAAGTAATAATGTTGTGCCCTACATCTCTATCCTATTGGGTTCTGCTTCATTTTCTTTTCTAATGGGAAGTGGTTGATTGGATCGACTCTATCCAATCAGTTTCGAACATTTGGGTCTCTCTTAGTATTAGTTGACTTTGAAGCATGTCAATTTTGGAGATGAAGCTATATTATGACAATGAGAGAAAGAGAGAGAGAGAGAGAGAGAGAGAGAGAGAGAGAGAGAGAGAGAGAGAGAGAGAGAGAGAGAGAGAGAGAGAGAGAGAGAGAGAGGCTCCCTGGCACTGAAGCATTATGTTTTATGCACCGGTCCATTATCGATCGGGCAGTTAGTAGGGCCATTCTCCACCTGCACCTTCATAGTTTTCTAGAACCTTCCAGTTCCCTTCTTCCATCTGTAGGTTATATCGTCCAGCTGTTTTCTTTTATCCCAAGCCAAATGATGTATTGTATATCTGTATATACAAGAAAGAAACGAGAGAATATTATGAATTATGGATAGGCCAACTGAACGAAGGAATGGTGGACACGTGAAGAAGTTCCATTCGATGATGTCTCCACTGGCGGTATATACAGATTTCGTGCCTCCAAGTCCAACTACTCGATATACCGGTTCTTGCTAAATTTACAAGTCTCATGTGGTGGAGGGCCGGTCGGTTCGGTTTTAAACGAAAGTTGAGGGCCGGTCGGTTATTGGTTAACCGAACAATCTCCCAATCCTACCTACCACCGACCGAAAAGAGAGATTAAGGCTTTGGTTTTTGGTTAACCGAACCTTCTCCCAAGACCAAAATCTATCTCGCCCAGCTTCCGGACATCGATCGAGTTTTGGTTATCTCGATTTTCGGTTAGTGGATAACCAGCCGGTTTCGGTTGTAACCGGTCGGTTAACCGCTAACCGATTGCCCAACCCTATTACCTCGTGTACTAGTGTTATCTAGGGATCACGGTTAGGTTAGATTTCGGTTGTTAGGAATTCCATTTTATATAGGTGTCCGATTTTCGGGATGTTAGGAAATCGATGGGTCATGTTAGGTTGTTTTTCAGTTTGTTGTGAAGACACTATGGTTCAAGCTTAGCTAGTGTGGTGAAGAAGAGAAATACGCGACAGGGGAGATATCAACACCGTTATTCAATTTTATTAAAATGCTAACTAAGTGTTTGTGAAAACGTGCCTCACAACGCTCCGAGGTCACCGTAATAAGAGTGGGCACCTTAAAATCATTAGAGGACACAATGAATGTTTTATTTAAAAAAATGCATGTCACCGCATCTATCCAACAGCTGCGAGACATTCGCCCCGATTCCAACGACCAGGAGGCGCTTTGAACACGTTCATCAGACGCCTTGTAAGCACCATATAGGTTTGCTATTATTGGCTTAAAGAATGTAGAGGCATTATTATTAACTAATGAGTACATGAAAAAAAAAAAAAAACGAAGACTATAGGCATAGCTTGTCAGCTTGAAGATAGGATTAAGGAGACAAGAGTTGGCAGCCTGCTCTTCTCTTGTGTCCCATTAGCCATATGGGAATAGGCAAAGTATTGGGGGATAGACATTAACACATGACACAGAGCCTGTTTCTGCATGCCTCTTCATGTTGTTTGTTCCCTCCAACTCAAAAACTCCTCCGATGACGCCCCACATTTTTAAGTGATGAATGATTATTAGTTGTTTAATTGTCATGAACCGTACAAATGAGCTTTTGGTTTTTTCATCATTGGTTTGCTCAAAGTTTAATTAAGTGATGAATTTCAATACGAAACTTGTTCATTTTGTAAAGTTTTTCAACGTACAGTTACATGGTTTGTATAATGACAAAATTTTATTTCTAATGAACCAATCAATATAACTTGAACTGTTTAGAACACTGGGGATGCGTACTTTAATTTTCAAAGAAACAGACAGAAAGATGGACAAAGTGAACAATCTATTTATCAGATGATGATGCCGGCCGCCTAGCTAGAGACTCGAACGAGAGTAATCTTTATCCTGAGAGTCATTTTGCTTTTTGCATGGTACGTATAAATATGAGCACTTCTACTATGCTTTATAGCATTGGTGCTTTAATGTACAACTTGAAGTTGTACCATAACATTAAATGTATAAGTTTAGGTTGTACCATAAAAGAATTTGTATCATTATGTTATGGTACAACTTTACAACTTGAAGTTGTACCATCACATAAGGTACAAATTTAAATTGTACCATAAAAGAATTTGTAGAGAAAGTATAGGTACAATCTGAAGTTGTACCATAACGTTAAAGATACAATTTCAAATTGTACCATAAAGGCAAAAACCTATAGCACCAATGCTATATAGCATTGTAAAATTCCTCGTATAAATATATTATTGGATATAAAAACCAGTAACATATATTCAATAATTTAAGTTATTGTGATGAATTAGTGTTTCTTAGAATTTTGAAAAGTTTTCATTAAAAGAATAAAGCATTAAATCGTATGGACCTCAAATATCAATAATTAATATAGACACAAATAAAATCAAGTCTAACCAATCGATTCAGTTCCATAATAGTGAGAAGCCGTAAAAGAATCAGAGAACAAGAGTACTATTCAATCAATACATCAATGATTTCTCTATGATTTATTTGATTGGATTTCTTTGAATGTCTAGGTTATTAAAAAGAAGGGGGAAAACGAACGAGAATATATTAAGTTCAATAAATGAAAAACAAAAGAAGTTTTATGAATACGACTTGAGATGTCAATTTTATTTGTAATTGTGACAGTTCTCGACCCAGTTAATATGCGAGATTCTTATATTAATTCGGTATGTGACGAATAAATAATATTCACATTTAAAGTGCGCGGGGATGCATTAGGATGGGTCTCACTCACATCCTCATACCCGTCTCGCACTCAAATCTCTATACTACACAGTGGCGGAGCCAGAAATCTGGACCGGGGAGGGGGGCTAAAATTTACGTTCAAGATGTTTGAGCCGGGGAGGGAGGGTTAAAGCCTTCCAACCTAATCTATATTCCAAGTTTGTTACAAAATTTACACGTAAATTTACAGGATTTTGAGAGTTGAGGGGGGCTATAGCCCCTCCTGGCTATAAGGTGGCTCCGCCACTGATACGACACACAATCAATTATGTGGTATTGCATCCTATCTCTCCCCATCCTCCACAAATTTATGAAAGAATACAACTATGAAGTTCTGAATTTTACTATCTAATTCCATCAATACATATTTGTCACCTTTTAATCCTCATTTCCTGAAATAATTTATATTTTTGTTATGTTTCTCGTACTTTTTGTGATTTGTTTATGATATATGTATCTTGAACTTAATTTCATTAAGTTTGAATTGAATTTTGATATATGTGAAGGACGACTAGGATTATCTGCGGATACCATGGGGGATAGGGATGAGATGAAAAAAGCTCTACCCTCAAAAGACCATATAATATAGGTCAACACATGTTACTAAGTATGTATTAGTTTCTTTCCGGCGTTTCAAAATTCTCGTTTGTGGAGTGTTGACTTATTGTCCTCATATGATGATTATGTCAATTTCGGACCTCAGTTCCACTAACCCATGCATATGTGTGGAATCCATATACTTGTATGAATTCACGTCACAAGTAAGCTTAGTCAACTCTACGAAACCTTTCCTTTATTGCAACATCGTTCTATTATGAATCAACATCGAAAAGACAATATCTAACATCCGACAATGCAAAAATATGCCAAGTTTCTTTCTATCGTTTCAAAATTCCCGTTTGTGAAGTGTTGACTTACTATCCTCATATGATTATGTCGATTCAAGACCTCAGTTCCACTAACCCGTACATATGTGTGGAATCCATATACTCTATGAATTCACCTCACTAATAAGCTCAATCAACTCTATGATAACCTTCCTTTATTGCAACATCGTTTATTTTGAGAATCAACATCGAAAAGACGATGGCTAACATATGACAATGCAAAAATAACCCACCCCACAAGTTGAACGAACCGCAGATACAATAGACTGAGATCAGCCTAGAAAACCGTGACCTTACTTGCCATAGATCAAGGACCTGCAAAGTTAGCTCAAAGCTGTCTTTGAGATCAGATGTCAGCATCGTTATTTTCAATCATGTCTCGAATTTCATTGACCACCAAATGAGCCTTGTGTCCGCCAATCACTTCACCCTGCTTCTTCCCATCTTTCCACATCTGCAATTCCCACACACAAAACAACCAGCTTAGGAAGGAGAGGCTACTATAGTACCTCCATATAACCATGCAACTTACTGCAATCCTGCAATCTTGTTAATGTTCTGTGATGTAAAAATGTCATTAATTGGTTTCCGATTTCAAGCTTTTCGGCTTGATCATCGAGTGATGAGACAGGATAACTTCAGGTGTGAGTACAAGAGGAGGGAGGCTTGGGATTCTGATTACCTGTATTGTTGGCATTTTCTGTACAAGGTTTTGCAGCCCCCACCGACGATTGAAACATGAAAAGGTAAAAGAAAAATAAACTGCTTTGATTAACATAAGCAAGCAGCAATGAAGGGGCAAAATGGCAACAAAACTAGCGGGGTTGCAGGGATGATTCAGCTTAAACTCGAGTCGGTTTTCTCTCCACAGGGTCACCATTCATGCTATGAACTAGATGATGATGGAGACTTACAGTGACTCCTGCTCGAGCTACAAGACTGTGAGGAACATTGTTGACATCAACACGGTAGAATCTCAATCTGCATGATCGAATGAATGACAGTCAAGAAAGGCCCTCTTAATCGCTTAACTAACTCAACCGATTCCTCAAATTGCATGCTTATAAACAAGAGAAAGCACCATTTCGTGCATGAAAAAATAAATGCATCTAGGTGGTTCTTGACCACCTTCAACTGCAGATGCCAGAAAATTCAACAAAACCAATATAAACCTTAGACATTCTATACATCATCTAGGATTCTCAAGGATTCAATGATCAAGGGAAGGCAAGAAGAAATAAGCACACTATAAAATGCATCAAGTAGAACATAGAGGTGCCTCTCTAACTGAAGGTCCAAGAAAATCCCTTTTTCTTTTTGGAGCGAGGGTTAACGAGTCATCCATATTTCAGTAGACAGACAGATACTGAAATCAAACATACCTTGGATGATATTCGGCTGCTAGTCTTTTCAATTTTGGTTCCAAGTATATACATTTCCTGCACCATTTGGCCGTCCTGCACGAGTAAACATCATCAAGACAAGCTTTGACATAAACCAGGACAGGAAAGTCAAACATCTTGACATCAAAACTATCAAGTACAGATGAGATGGCAATATTTCGAGCAACCGCATAATGTTCCAGTCATAAGACAAGATTCCTAGAACTCAAGCGAACACAACTTATGAATCTCCCGACAGACTCCCCTAGAATTCACCACAGAACAATAAGACATTTTCCACATGTTCATGAAGCTCAAACAGTACTCCCACCAAAACTTCAGCAGTCAAGTAAGCAAAGGGCCAGAGCACACTCACAGAGTGACAGAGAAATCCCAACAACCTGAACTCAATACTGTACCAGGACCATCCGTATAGCAAACACAATAAATCGCTCAACTGATACAAAATCCTGACTCACGAAGCACCAAATTCGAAGAAACATGGGGAAAAAATGAGAACTTTGAATTAGAGAGCTAACCAAACAACAATAACCCCTTCGTCGAGTTGCTGGGCGTCAGCTATAAGCCGGTCAAATTGGGTGTCGCTGCAAATGGGCTCCAGCTCAATCGATACAGGCGCGTCGTCCAGCTCCTGTACGGACCCTTCCCCACTCCAGACATTAAAAACCCCGACTTTCCCACCGGACAATTGCCACCCCGCCGGAGAATGATTAGAACCGCGGCATTTTCCGGAAAAGGAAAGAGCTCCTCTGAAGCTCGACAGGGAGCGATTCCGACGAGCTAGAGAAGGGAATGATGATGGGGAAGAAGCAATCGAAGTGGGTTTTCTTCTGGAAGAGGGTAAAGCTCCGATAGGGGGAGCTCGAGAGAGGTGTACGGCTTCAGACATGTGTAGGGATTAGGGAAAAACGGCGCCGGTTCTCTCTGCTTCGTTGTGAAATGTCGATGGTGAGGGGGGGAGAAAAGGCGAGGGAATTGAAGTGAAGAATCGCAGGGTGCCACTTGCGAATAATAGAGAGAGGTGTCGGGCCGTTGACTCTGTTAGAACTTGGGAATTGGCCGCTCCATTTTGGGGCTTTTTCCACGATATCTTTGTATTCCTAAATAGAATCTTCAATTTGTTCGTCGTCAGGTAATGAACGGCAAGATTACTGCTGCTTATGTTGAACAAGGCCGAACCCACACCACACCACCAAACCCTAGTTTTCTTTTGGCAAAATACACTTCTATCACCATAAATTTTGTCTTTATGACAATTAGAGGCTACTTTTTTAGTTAATGACAAATATAGCTAGATTTAAAGGTTTGTGTACCAGATATAGGCATTTTCATTAAAAAAATAACAATATTAGAGATGTCGTTAGAAATGTTAACGACAAACTTATGTAGATGTCACGTCATGTCACATATTAATCATAACATATTTAAAAAACACATTTGTATAGCTAAAATTTTGATTCTAATGACAATTATAGTCATTTTTACATAATGACAAATATAATCATTTTGTTCAATAAACTTTGATGCTAATAAATTTGGCTAAGATAATATGGAAACAAATCTCATATTGTTCTCCCATAGTTTGTCATCCGTTAGCACTTTCGACATGAGCATAATTGCTCGAGCCAAACTTGATCTTTACAATAAACTTCTCATCATCTGTGCTATGGACTTATTGGTTGTTCTAGGTCTTCGACTAGTTGTGATGAGCTAACGATAGTAAGTATTTGCTTCAACATTACTCAACCCACACTCACCATTTCAATAAACTTCTTATCTCTCATTTGATTTTTAAACTAATAATGATAATTAATTTAAAATTGACCCTATTTATTAATTTAGGATATGACAGGGTAGATGGGATGCTTCGGTCATATTGGATCTGAAAATCCAACCCTTACAATTGAGTTTAGACTATTATAATTGTCATGATTAAATTGACCTTATAAAATTATCTAATTGCTTGCTAGCAATAATTTTGTTAATTATATATACACTTATTAGCACTTACTATTACATGATCGATAATAATTCATCGTAATGATATAATCGATGATAATTTACTTAGTCATATCACGGGATTTATACTCAATGACTTGTTGTACTATCCTATATACTAACTACAAAACCTGAACCTATGCATGTGTAGTTCTACTCAAAAGTATGTGTAACGTGTAAGGCAAACCAAGAATGAAAAATGGCACCAAAATTGCAATTGCAGTACAGAATTCAATGGGAATGCTATATGGTCTTACAAACTCAAAATTGGCCAAACTAAATAAATAAAAAACAAACTCTTCTCCTCACAAACGAACCTAAACCTCCTCTGGTAAAAATGTAGAAATGGATAAATCTCTAGCCGCTCAAATTGGCAACGATACTGGACAAGGCAGAGTACGTCCCAAAAGCTGATGCCACTAACCCAACTGTAATTACCAAACCACACAGACCAACCTGCAGAGTAACATCCACACAGCACAAACAAACACCATTACTGGGATTTCCAAGGAGAGAAGCATTCAATCTGCGACAGGACACATATACAGAAGAAAAGGGAATCCGAACCTGGATAGGAGTCACTTTGTTCCTCAAGATGCTCAAGAAGCAAGCACAAGGAAGTATCAGAGTCTGCACATCATTTAGACAAGCATTAGATGGTCTAAAACAGATATGGTTTCCACATTTGGAACAAAGAATGGTACTGTAACAGATGGCAGCAAGAAACTAACCACAAACATGGTGAGCAAAGATCCGATTAGCGACATCACCAGTCCTGAACCATAAAGGAAAAGAACTTATTATGAAGTTCACAAATCCGCGGTGATGAATCAAAGACAGATGAATGACAAATGAACCAGAGAGATAGAGAGAGAGGACTAACCAAAGAAGGGGACAGAGAGGCCAACGAACAACGTCGACAGGACCAGCAATGTCCTAATCCCCATCCCATACATATACGACTTGTTCAAGTTCGATGGCAGCAGCTCCTCCAGGCACAACGCCACCGGCATCATCGTCAGTGCATACTTGGTGAAAGGGTTGACGACGGTTGTCCACAACGCGATCTTCGAGGCAACGAGATCCTTGGGCAAGTTGAGAGTGAACTGAGACGCTGTTGCCTGTCCGAACATCGTGTACCCCATCACTGCAACTCCCATGTACAGCATTGAACATATCACAAAGCTGCACAAATTTTTACAAACACGTCCACAAGATATTCAAAACCCATCATAAGAAACAAGAAGGAAGCTTTAAGCAAGGAGGGAAGTTGGTTAATGTGGAAATCGTCATTTACCAGACCAAGAGAACTATAGGGTATTGGTGTGGCTTTGCCATGGAAGTGTAGATGTTTGGGAAGACGGCATGTCCCGAGTAACAATAGCCATAGAGACCAAGAGCCACAGGGAGAGTCCCCAAGTTGATAACCGAGCCTTTGCTGTGGACGCTGACTTGATCAACTAGACCAACCCAGAACAGGCACAGAACCACTAGAACTGATGCAATCACTCCACCGGCTGCCACATTAAAAATAAAAGCGGTTCAAAGCTGGGAACTTTTAAGGATAAATTTATGTCTACAGTACTTTTAGCAATCTATCTCCTTTACCAGAGATGTAGCTGAGAACGCGGAGGTCTCTGAGCCAGACGGTGGGGAGGACAGCAAGGGCTGTCAATAAAGCAAACAGGTGGTGTGCATCCAAGTCCATCCCAAGCAAGCTCAGGTGTGCATTTGGGAACAGCGAGGACAAGTTGTCGCTCTCTAATATGATATACTCCACACAACAAGCCTGTCAAAGACACAACACAATCACCACCATTCGCTTACAGTCAACGACATTGGGGCCCAAGAAATATTAGATTCAGAACCCACCAGGGGATATGCCATCCCTTTCATTCAAAGACAGCTGCAACACTAGCCGATGAAGGTGGAGTAACGTGAAAAACGCGATTACTATATACAAAAAAGCGATAAGATAAGCAACTTACATATAGCTCCACGTACAGTATGATCTGTGCAGCAAACCAAAACCCCATGAAAAAAGACAGAGCAGCCAGAAAATGACAATACAAGAGTCAGCCCAGTTTAGAGAGAACTTGGAGGAGAAAGGGGAAAGGTTTGAATTTGGGGACTTACGGAGATTGCAATACGGCCAGGGGTGCCGAAAGCGGCATGGCCGATATCAGGGTAAGTCTCGAGGCCAGGCTCGCTGTCGAGGCAGTGGCGCAAGAGGATCCCAGTGTAGAAAGAGAGGAGGCCGAATATGATGAGAATGGAGAGCCCCACCCACCCTCCTTCCTTGGCTGCATATGGCGTCGACAGTAACCCAACCCCACACAGCACGTTCAGCCCTGTGATTGTAATTGTTCATCAATTTGGAACTCTATTAACCAAATTACCCACAAGGGAAAAAGCTATGCTCTGTCTACTAATTGCCTTTCTCAATCCAAGCCACGAAGACTAGCTACTGGAGATAGGTGCAGTCTAGAGAGATATGCTGCAGCATAAACTTGTCAGGTTGGTCTGCCATATTCATGGCGGAGTTGTTTGTTTTGAGTCTGTCTGGTTTCTGGCTCTCTGATCATGTGCACCATGTGCTTTGCCACAGCAGCAACATGTAGTCGAGACAAGATAATGCTGCTGCCCCAGCTGAGAGGGAAGCCCCTTGATTTTGTTAAACCCACTACCGTCTCTCTCTCTCTCTCTCTTTCTCTCTGCCTTCCATTGGACAAATTAACTATCCAATCCAAGCTATGAACAAAGATCTATCTCCATATGTACTTGGCCCAATCTCTGGTCCCTATTCCAAGTGGGGATGGCTGGCCCCTCATGATTCACATCATGGGATGCGATTCTCGTTTTAGGACAAGGCGTGGCTATTTAATTCATCAGTCATCACAACAAGCAAACAAACAAAAAAGAGATGTCGCCATTTCAAAGCAAGTTGCTTTGCTAATGGAGGGCAAACACGAAATCACGCCTCACACAAACAAACAAACAAACAAACAAAGAGACTAATTATTAATTAGGAAAAGGGGGCAGGGCATGTTAGGTTGCTTACCATTAAGCACGGCTTGACCAAAGGAGCTTTGGTGAGAGATGGGGAGTTCGTGGCCATGAGCAATCATGGAAGAAGGTTTCTCGTCGTCTTTTCTTATGGAGGATCTTCGCCGCGGGATCGGCGGCGGAAGCAGCGCGTGCGAGCTCTTCCTCTTGGGCTCATCTTCTTTCACCAGCAGAGGCGCGGTCACCGCCGGCGCCGGGGTGGGGAATGATTCAGGGGTGTGCCTTCTTATCAGTGAAGATTGCATGAAGGAGCTGCCTAGCCTTGTTAGAGATGGCGTATTTAGGAAATTGATTCCTGGAGATGGCACGCTACTGTACAGGTCGATTGATTGCCTGCAGAAACCAAGGATTCAAACAAGAAAAGTAAAAAAAACAGAGCATTGCATCAATCATTGTCCTTCAAAAACAGAGTGCCCTGTTTTTCCCTGTAGGTATAGCTCGCTGGAATTTAACCTAAAACTTTCTCTGGCAAATCATAAAACAGAGAATAGAGGGTTTTTCCCAATGTTAGAATGTACAAACCTGTAACTCTGAGGCCATGTAGTAATGTAAGAACCGGTTTTGCTCTGCTGCCGCTGGTTATCAGCCAGGGACTCGTCGGAATCCGAGGGGTTTCCTGCGTCCTCTTCTTCACCTTCACCATCTCTGCTGAAGTCCTTGTCGTCTTCGTCATCGCTGTCAATGTAAAAGCTTTGATCCGACACAGAATTCTTCATCTTTTTCCTTTTCCCTGTTTCTCTCTTTTCCTCCCTCTCCGTATTTTTATAGAGGAATCCCTGCAAATCGAAAAGGGAAGAGGACGTGAAGGAAAGAAAAACCCAGTTGACGATTCGCGGAATATTTCAATGACCCACAACGCAAAGATTCGATCTTTCCGACGAGAAATTAGATGGTCGAGGTTCGGGGAAACACATTCTTGGGTAAGGTAAGTGACAAAAGGGAGAAACCGGGAAAGAGGAGGAAAATCTACCGGAAGTGCTTTAAAAAGTGCGGGTTTCGAGGGCTGGGAATGAGTTAAAAACGGAAATTCAACTCGAGTTCAAAAATCTTGGAAGAGAATCGAGAGTCGAGATGGTAAGTCTTCGATTAATGACATGATAATATTGCCTCCTCTAAATTTGTGGAAGATGCCGATAAGACAGAAATTGGGAAGAGGCTAAAAACAGAGACGGGAATGGAGGAGCTCTGGTAGGCTCAGATCTTTAAGGGGATTCCTCCAAAAAAAGAAGAAAAAAACAGAGCTTTATAGGGATTCTCTTTTTGAATTATTCAAGAAAGCAAGTCACTGAAACTTCCACACTGACACACTTACTCTGTTTGTTCTCTGGCTCTGGGCACAAAATAAAAGAGTACCCACTCACTGCAGTGGAAACTAGGTAAAAGGTTCAAATTCTGACCCAATACATTCAGTGAAAAGGCAGAAACCCGTCGCCGGGAAACACCGAAAGTTACGCCCTTTTTCCGGCAAATTTTCCCGGCGACCAAACAGAGATTTATTCAGAACAGGGAACAAAATTCAAGATTCTCAGTGTGTTACACTTACGAGTCGGAGCCGGCGCAGACAATTTTGTTCTCGGTCAGGCGTAGGTTGAAGCTTTAAAAGAACTGGAAGCCAATTTTGGATTGAGATTCAACGAAAACGAGAGAGCCCAATTGTCTGGATATTGAAAGGGAAGAGCTTCACGAGAAAGCTCGGAAAAGGGCTTCAATGTCTCGTCTTCTTTCTTTGTCAGCCGCGGATTTATAGGGACGATTTACGAATACCAGCCACTGTAAGATGAAGATGGAGGGTGGGGATTAGTTATTGGGAATGTCTGTACCCTTTTAAGGTGTACCCACCTGTACAGGATCAAAATACGAATTAGCCTCAATTTAATTAATTTCTCATGTTTATTCAACGAGTTAATGCCTTACTGCTGGAATGTAAATAAATAAATAAATCAATTTAATTTGTTACTTAAAGAGAGTAAACTACGGGGGATGAATGTTTTGGTTTTCAGTCCACAGTCCAATTACAATTAAAACTTCCACATCATCAACAAGTATAGAATTTGAATTTCAATATTTGGCTTTTTTTTCTTCCATATATAGCTTCTTCTTCTTTTCCTTTTTTAGGGAGTTTTAATATATGACTTAGAACATAGAAAAATAACATTAAAACGTACGGAGGTGAATGAAAATAATGATATGATTTTTTTTGTTATGAGGTGGATATTTATGTCGACCATTCAAGTAGAAATTGAATCTAAAACATTAGTAGTACGACAAAAGCACTTTGAATATCTAGATGAATTACGCTCCATCAATCTTATCTAGAGCAACTGCTTGTCAGGGTTTACATATCAGTATTGAGCAACTAAAAAGCCTACCACAAATGATTCTCAGAAGTACTTTGATTTAGATATTAACATATCATTTAATTTATCAGATAGCATGATCATTAATTATTATGATTTATTTATTTGGATTAATTAACGGGTCAATCGAATGTTGTATAGCATGATACTTCTAATCAGCTACGATCGATGGGCTATACTAATTACCAAGCTTGGAAATACGGTTGAAGATTGAGCAAATCAATGATGACGACTCATGCTATATTCGACTTGTCAAGTTTACATCCTAATTAAAAGAAAGTGAACGATCTTGAATAAGTAAAGACGTCTCGAGCAATAAGACCCCCTCTGAAATGGTTAACGTGGCATAAGACTGGTTACAATCCAATGATTAATGCAAATATCATAAATGAGCAAGACACCAGGGCAAGTCAGAGAGGCGTGGAACTGCTTAGATGTTATAAGGCAAGTTGACAAAACCCGAGTATCCTAAAATGAGTCAGCCGTCGGACGTTGAAACTAACGTTATATGTGAGACAATATATGATGCTTAAAATAAGAGAAATTTGTATATAGGAATTTAGATTAAGTAATTGCCTGGAAAAAAAAATCAGATGAAGAAAGAAAGGAAAATAAAGGTGTGATGTTATCCCTTACAAAACTCTACAACGATCTAGCCAAATTAGAAAATGATAATTAAACTTCTTGTACAAACGTGTAAGGATGATGTTATATTAGGGTTTTTTTTTCTTACATAATAAATAAATAAATAATATTATGGGTTGTCCAAAATCCAAATTAAGGTGGGAGCATTGCAAGTGTGATGTGGAGATAAGATGAAGTGAATGGAACCATAAATAACGTTTTAGTTATGATCTGTCATACAGACAGCTCCATCCATAGTTTTTTAATATAGCATGTGCATTAAACAAATCAGCCCCATGTAATTATAATTTTAGGATATATATATATATAGAGAGAGAATTATTGTATCCCTGCACTTAGATCCAAAATTCATGCACGAATCGACACCTCATCACATATAAATCTATTATTTTTCAAGAAGGAAAAAAAAAAAAAAAGAGCAATCTATTTTAGCCTCCTCAATTTTCTTGAATATGTATACAAGGAAATATGCGAATGTTGTGAATTTCGAATATCCTTCTTTACAGCTCCATAAAGAAAATCGTTACTGATTTATACTAATTTGGCTTACAAGTCTCACACAATTAAATAATTTCTATAATTACATGAAAGTACAAAAATAATGTGTTTTACTAAATGGTCAAATATCAAATTTGATATTTACGATTTGCTATTCACCAACGAAACCACTCAATGGGAAGGTCGAGCAAAGCTAAAATAAACGAATTTGGATCCAATAACGATTTCAACTTGCCCCATACTTGAAGTGGGTATTCTTCCATCAGTAGAAAGACAGTGCCTTGGGGTATTTATCTTTTACTCGACATGAAATCATGAATGCTAAGCTATCAGAATAAGACTAGTATTTGGAAGAAGGGAAAGGTCGAGCAAAGTGGACTAAACAAATGACAAAAAGGGAGGAAATTAAACGTCATTCGTCCATTATCCACGCCTCCAGGGACAAAACAATGAAGACTCTGCAAGATGACCACATTCTAGTAGTAATGGAAGCTGATTGCAGCCTCTGCCAGAAAGGTCTCAACAGTAAACTCCAACTTACTAACACTACAAATGAGCTGATGACAACAACTGCATCAGGAAATAGGAAAAAAAAGTACTCCACTTTCTGAGTTCTAGAAGAGGACCAGATCAGACAGAACCCTTCCCACCTGAATCTCCTACAAGATGCAGTTGGGCACCAAAAGCAAAGCTTATCCAGGGGAGGGAATCACCTTTTTGTTTTTAGTTGAGAGACCAATCATTAGGATGCTGAGTGTAAGTTGAAATTCTCAGTATTCTTTTCTCTCTCTTTTCTTTGTATCTTCATGACATTCTGGTTAATCAAGGAATCTTGGTGAGTTTCCAGGGTCTTGTGAGGTGAATATGAATCTTCTGATCTCCCCTCAAACTTGGTGGATGCCACATCTACTTTTCACTACCAACTAAAGGGTTGTGGGTGGGTGGGTGGGTGTGGATAAGAAAACATGAAGCAGTCCTGTTTGGTTCCAACATTTCCATCCCCAAGTATCAAAAGTGCCTACGTGGTTATGGGCATGGAAGTTCCTGTCAACATCAGCAATAGCAAGTATCATGTTGCAGTAGACTAATTAGAAGGAAGTAAAAGGCAAGAGCTTCCTTCAACAATGAGTAGTAATCCGTTAACAATCATGACTTCTGTCTGCAGAGGTAAGAATAATGTAATCCGAATTTCGGTTCATAGCCATTCGATGATCTCCGGCACAAAGCAGATTTCACAGGTTGAAAATAGAAGTAAAAGCACGACAAAGGAACCAGAGAAGCTGCCATATCTGCTACAATCAAAAGCATGAACACAAAATGGTACAGGAAAACGGGATGCAAGTCATGTTCATAACCTTTACGGAAGAATGATAGAAAGATGGCAAGAAATAAGGAGCTAGATAATGTCAACTGTCAAGCAGACCTTGGCGGTTTAAGCAGAAGATGAGCGTCTTCCATTCTAGTAAGTATAACGTCTATACAACTTCTACAGCTTTTGATACATAGAAAAAAAGAGTACAGTACAGCAACAAATTAGTATGAAAAATTGCACATAAAAAATTATCAATACCTCACTATAAAGTATGCTGCAAAACTAGATAACCCATATGTACATGTGCAAGATTATTCCAGCACCGGTCAGTTTATCGTCTAAGCTTCTCCAACCATGACCAGTAAAGAATAGAAGAAAAACATTCAGATTCTGCCTGGGATAAATCCAGTGAACTGAATCAACTCTGATGTGAGGTAGGGAAGCTCGTTCCGTCTTTCAGGTGGCTAACTGCCGTGGGACAGAACCATTTTAGCATGTTTGGACCCAAAACCTGCACCAAAGCAATAAATTGGAACTTAATCAATATACATGCTTTGTGTGGTTACATCTAACCAAAATATGTAAAGGCGCAACATAGCAGGTGCAAGAATGCTGCATTCACTCAGAAGTATCATATTCGCACAGTTGGTGCAATATGAAGCTTATATCATGTGAGAGAGGTACCGAGGAGATGTTTGCATAGACAGTAATGTTGAAAGGGTGCCGATAAATCTGGCCAGATTTCTTAGCCAACCAAGCTGCTCTTGTTCCTTCATGATACTGTAAAGTTCAACAAAACACGATTAATAGAAAAATGTCAAAAGGAAGAAGAGGAAAGGAATGGTTGCTGCACGCTTGTCTACTTTTGCATTTACAGAACTCACCTCTATAGTAGTCATATTACGAGTAATTAAGTAGATATGCCAACCCAGCAGAGTACCAAGTGTGATGCTCAAACCAGCCATCATCGCACCAGAAAGAATCTAAGTCACACACCATTATCAAACATTAGTACAGCGAAATGCACTAATGCCAAATTTCAGCAATGCACCAATCAGGAGGCACTTGAAACATCAGGAATATACAAAATGACGGGAAAGAATCTGATAGGAGAAATGATAAACATTACTAAATGGTGATGCTAACAATAACAGAACAATTAAGCCAGACCAAGTAAGAGAACTCACATAAAAAATCTTGAATGGAAGCACTTCGGCAAAGTCCCAGTCTTTATGTATAGAACTGATCATCATCACAACCTAAGCATGCATGCCAAAAGCCTCTCTCATAGCAATCTGAAGCAATTCGATAAGCTTCATTCGAATGTCAAGAAATGCAAATCAGACTTACCGTAGAATAGATGCTTGCTGCAGTTGCGTAGAATACTAAAACGATAAAGGCCTTATAGTTCCAATAACCAACACAATTGTTTATCCACAGACAATGATGATCCTGCAGCCAGTTTAGGAAAAGAAACCATTGTCCATGAATCCAAAGCGATCAACAAGCTCAAAATTAACAGATCAATCGAACTTTTTTATGCCAAATTGCTTCACTGACATACCATTCTCAAAACACAAACTCTGCAGACCCGGCAGTGATGAGCCCTGGGAGGTTTATATCTAGCACACTTTTCACATTGCCTAAGTTGTGAACTCTGCGAACGAAGCATCAAGCATCTATTAAAAAAAAGGTTCAAACTTCAAACCTAAAATCGAAATAATTTACCAACAGGCAATTGCACTAGCTTTAAGGTGAAATTCACCTCCTCTCACTAAAATTGATCAGAAAGCTTACATCTTTTTGGGTTTCCGGATCCAAAACAGAAGCTGCTTCGACATCAGGCGCAGAAGAGGACGGGACGTAACCAGGGTCGGTCAGAACAGAGACAGCAAAAGAGAAAAGGGAGAGAGCGGCCATGAAAGTGAAGATGACAGCATTCAGAGTCCCAGCGGAGGTGGCCAAACCAACCCAATCTTCGATGAAGATGAAGATCGTGATGTAGTAGACGACACCCATTACCATAAGAACGCCGCATACTGGGATTGACGCGAATCTATTCCACTTCATGGAGAATCTGTTCCGGAGAAATCTCCCTCCGTCGGTCTTTCTCCGTTTTCCCTCTGCTGTTCCGGGTCGATTGGGCACTCCTCTACTTCACGGTCGGTAGGTCGCCGGAGAGAATTTTCATTACTTGTTTCTTTTTGCGGGGAGAAGTCGGAAGAGGAAACGCTATGGAAAGAAACTCAAGTAATGTAATGGGCCACTTGGAAAGTCAGTATTAGGCTTAAGTGAGCCTCTTTGACGCATGGGCCTTGTTAATTGGCCCCATATATTTCTAAGTTATTTTTTCTTCCAAGTATACAAGTAACGACTTAACATCCCGACTTTTACTGATCAAGATATTGTCGATGTTGAGTTTAGATTTTCTTTAAGTGTATATTAAATTGAATTATCGAGAGGTCATTCATCCTTGTATTGCTCAATAATGAGCACATTTAGCTTTGGAGTTAATACGAGAACTATTTCATTTCATTGCGAAATGCATCCTGTCAGTTGAGATTAGTTTCTTATTTACGAATCATGGATCTCTCTTGCTTTACGATATGAGATTTGACTAAGGTTACCGTTCAACTCTAAAGTCTAATCTAATTAAAAAACCCCAAGGAGATTCACAAAATTCATTAATGCATAATGGTTGGAACCATCTTTAAATGTTTCATTTTTTTATATAGAAAAGATTATATATAAAAAACCAAAACATAGCTCAAAATCATGAAAAAAGCAAAGAACAGTAACTCCAAACTAGCTTAAATGATGAAACGTGTTTAGGAAAATTTCAAAATTTGAAATCACATCATATTTCATGGTTCAGGCTAGCGTACGTCAGTCATACATTGTACGCCCGTCGAGTTTTACTATTTAGAGCAGGAATTAACCGAAATTTTGGACATGATACTATACCCCAACCTCTAATGGATAAACACCAGTCCCTAATTCTCTAACCCAAGCCACGAGATTCATTTAATCTAAAAAATAATAACCGACGGTTCTGATTCAAAAAAATATATATATATTGAAGTACAAAACCCAAGTATGAACACAGACGTACAACGTACGTCTGACGTACGCTAGCCTTTGCCCATATTTCATTGTAAAATATTGATAATACCTACATGATATTTTTTCACATTAAACCTAACTCATAAGATTAGCCTGATTCGGAGAGAATAGATAACCTAAACACTTGTCATTAAGCTACTGCATATAGTACAGCAAGAAACGACAAATTTACATAATTTAGTGGAGGGTAAATAGTAAATACAAAAGCTAGCTAGATAGCAAGTTAGCAACTGATGATCACTATATTTATATATCTGTACCAATGAGAGATTATGACCATAATTTGTCCCTTTAATTAGATCGCTAGCTGTTTTTTTCCTTTTCACCAACCATATCAATTTGTAACCTAACATAGCTTGCATTAATTACCAAGAAAATATTACGTCGAATGTTACAACTTCAAAGGGAGCCAATCGCATAAATTGAAACTAAGTACATTCAAAAATGACAAAACTAGAGCCTTCTTAGCCACCTGATGGGCTAATCTATTGTTCTGTCTACTCACAAATGCACTGAAAAGTCAGGATGAGCTTGGCGCATAGACTTGATCTCCTGGCAATTATGGCTCATTCCCCTCGCATCCAACACACTTCCCGCGTTCACCTTATCAATGACTCCTTTAACATCACCAACCAAGCGTAATGCGGAAATGCCCCTATCCAAGCTCCAAAGGAAGAAGGAAGGTTTCCCTTAGCGCCAGTAACTCCACAAGCTCCAAGTGAACTCCTCGCGCCATTACCACCACACCAATTTGATCATGCAGAACCACCTCACCGCCGCAAGAGACACTCCCCACAAAATAGAAGAAAAAAAGATATTATACCACAATCTTTAATGGGTGACCTTATATTTCTTCGCTAAACCCAAGTTATAAGATCAAATTAATTAAAAAAAAATAGTAACCAACGGTATTAATTCGCATAAGTATACAAAAGTATACTTAATAGGTACGAACGCATAATATACGTCAGTCCAAAGCTACCATATATATGTTGTTGATAATATTTAATAACTATGGACAATTGCCCAGAAGAGTACAAATGACAACATTTCAAAACTCGATCCTAGATTCACATATATAGCCCCTCTCGAATCTCCAACTGGTGCGGATCCATTATTACACCTATCCATGCTCCAAAATTTCATCCATACTTACAAACATAAAAATAAAAATTGTTTTTAGAAACAAATCACAAGAGAGCATTCTAACTTGAAGCTATTGACCGGCCAGAGAGTCAAACGATCGAAACCAGTAAAGAAAAGAATGATCAGGAAAATCCATATAATGACACAAAGAATATGAGTATCTAAATACCCGCCTCGTCGATCTAGCCATTGCCAATACCCTACATGGGTTTCCAACCAAAACAGAAAGGGGGGAAAAAGCAAGAAAGATGGGCTAGCATACAGACATACATGTGCAGCCGATTCCTTCTTCATATTATTGTTGTTGCTATTGGTGTAAGGAACACAAGAAGAAGAAGAAAATGGAAAAGCCAGCAAATGTTAGCTGGTCTTAGGTTGTCGGTCAGTAATATAATCCACCTGCTTAATCAAATTTCTAGCTAGTAGGATATCCAACACAACATCATCATAATAATATCATTAAACAATGATGACAGATCACAGAGAATATTATTGCACTATACTCTATACTACAAATGCATGGTTATATATATATATACTTCTATAAATGTTCTACATGAGCAGAGACAGGCCAGGTAGCTCCAATCCAATGAAATGAAACCCCACGAAACTGCAACACATGTTCATGATATTGAAGCTATCTAACAAACATTGTTCTTTAGCCCACCAACCAAACAAGCTCCAATTCAATGTAAGAGTGTATTAATTAAGCAGTATGACACATCCATCTGAACTACAACAATTTATCTAGTCGAAGCTAGAGTAGGAGTGTCACATGTATGTGTGGAGGGTTTCACAATGTATATATGTTCAAGGCAAATAATACCCAAATTCGTACATTATATATAGCATTAGAATTACTATCTTCAAAAATCCCTACTCATCTAACTCGAGAGGGCGCAGTCATAAGGAAATTAGAAAGAAAAAAATGTTCCTTCACTTTCTTGCACGCTTTAACAGATGAAATAATCTCAACCCCCTCCCCCCAATCATCTAAGATCGCGATTTACACAAGTCGGGATTAATAGATGATTTGAACACCAGAACCACCACTGAAGTTTAAGATATATGATCATGTTGATATCGAACTAGCTAGTACTTCTTCATTCGAGAAATATTTTTGGGGAGATGTCCGAAAATGATGGAATTTAATACGCGATCCCCAGCCCACTACTAACTATACGGGTAAGTGAAACAACTAATTTATATCTATTGTCAAATTGAACCCGAATCAATTAGAGGTAGATCATCACTTGCTTGCTATACTGAATATGATCGCAGGTCGAATTAATGATGACACTAATCACGTTCTGCATACACCCAGCCAGCCAGCCATGGAAGCAAAAAACTAGCTAGATGATAATGATGGTCGATGAAGAAGATGTACGAATTACCTGGTGGCCGGGAAGATTGGTCTGTTGTATTTTTATGTACAAGAAAGAGAGGCCGGCGGCGGGAAGTCATTTGATCACTGCTGCAGCATCATCAAGATTCTCACTACATAAATACATAATTATCCCTAAACAAAAAGAAAGGAATATCCTTCCTACCCAGCCAAACACCTACTATATATATACTCTTTTTTTTGGGTGTGTGTTGAGAGAGTAATTAAATAAATGCATGTGAATCTTGATGATGCTGCACCTGCGATCAATGACTGTAAAAAATGAAAAAACTCTTCCCTGCTTTTAGCATGCGAGCTAGCTGTCGACTGTACGGTTTTACTCCTTCTTTCCTTTACACTTCTCCCCACCACTTCACTCCCCGTAACTTTAACAATAACATGAAATTGAGGAAGAATTTCAATGGTGGAGAACAAAACAATCTACAACCCAATTCTCCTGCCCTCTTTTTTTTTTTTTTTTTTTTTTTCTTTCAAAGTAGTCCAATTCTAGAAAGCAAACAAGCTAGAACCCAGACCAAATTGAGAAAAAGGAAAAGCAGCGGGATCGGAAAAAATTGGAACTGAAGCAGCTTGTACTAACCCAGATGAAAAGAAACCGCTTAAGGTTATCATGATCGACTACACAGCAGACATCTATAGATATATACTGTAGAACAAACAAACAAACAAACAAACAAAACAAACAAAGCAACGGAAAACCAGAGTGACTGCTGACGGAGGTAGAGAAGGAAGGATGGAACTGAGCTGAGCTCTGGAGAAGAAGGGATGGGGATGGGATTTTAGTTTCAGATTTAAGAGGCTCTTATATAAACCACAACATTGTTCCTATTTCTTCTCCCCCCATAAAAGAAAGAAAGAAATAATAATAATAATAATAATGGAGGGGAATGGAGGGTTTTCTCTCCCTCACACTCCGGCGCACCACAACTATCCTGCACTCTCTCTCTCTCTCTCCATTGTACCCTATCAACAGCGGACTAGGAAATTTTATTTTAAATAAGAAAATATTATAACAAAACGTTATTATGTAGTTTAGGAAAAAAATTATATAATGCATTTAGTTGCTACAACGTTCAAAAAAAACTCTTTTAATATATTCCAGTAAGTAATGATTCACGCATCTATTTGATTTTGAAACTTTTTTTTTATGTAGCTCAAAGCTTAAAAAAAATATCTTTCAGCACTTGTGGTTTCAAATCGATAAAATCAAAATACAAATTTCATAAGCAAATAGATCTATAAATACAGTAATTATTTCTCCCCAAAATTTAAGAGCATCTCGAGACAAATCTATGATGATCAGCTTAAGGAAGACGGTTTGCCAACAAACATGCGACGATCCAACAAAACAGCACCCTTTCAACTTTACGCAAACACAATTGATTAAAAAAACTTTTTTGACTGATTTATGTTAGCAATGGTAACGTTTCATATATGAGATCGATGACGACTTACGCATAAAACATGCACTTTCATTAGTAGTGGCGTAGCCATGATTCGAGTTTAGTGGGGTCTCATTTACGAAAAATCTTTATAACATTGTATTTAATTATCAAGTAAAATTTCTTAAACATAT